GGCCATAGAGCGATATCTAACTACAGACGGTACCGTTTCGGCCTTATGGGCCTCATCAGTGTAGTGCTGATGAGCAGGATGAAAGTAACTGCTATTTACAGTTACCTTTGATGCCTCACGATTGTGGGACATCAAAACCATGCCAGAACGTGCAAACTGCAAGCAGTGAGCGTGCGCCGGGGACTCAATTCTACAATTCTGGGACTTTTCTAACGATAAACAACGTGTATCTGTAAAGTCCTTTTCAGGGAGTAAAGCTGAAGATATGCAAGATTACATAAAACCATTACTACGCAAAAAGCCGGACGAGATAATATTGCATGTAGGCACTAACAATATTAAAGATTACTCCAAGACGGCAGAAGTGGTTGCTGCGGGTATCTTAAACCTCGGAACCCAAATAAAGGATAGTCTACCATGCACTAACGTATGTATATCGGGCATTATTACCAGGAAAGATAAAGCTAATATCCAGAATAAAATTAAAAGTGTAAATGACATTCATAAACGGGTCTCTGGCCAAAACAAATGGATCTATATGGACAACACTAATTTAGATTATACTTGCCTAAATAGAGGTGGCCTACATTTAAATAGAAAGGGTAGTAGCACTCTTACTAGAAATTATAGTAATCACTTTAGTCGTAATTGAAATAAGGCATGGCCTGGTGCTGTAAGGTATGCTCAATTTAACCCATATTTCCCTGATTTCAAGGGTTTCAAAATGGGTATGCTTAACATAACCAGTTTACCTAAGCATATTGACGGTCAATCTGAACTTGCTCTAGACGAACTGAAATGGAAACCTTTAAGTGAACGCAGAACTCATTTCGTAGCAAGTCTTATGTATAAAATATCTCACGAACTGGCGCCAAAACGACTAACCAACATTTTTCAAAGGATGTCTTCCTCTTATTACTATAATATGCGAGGCTTTTACACCAAACTCTTTTTGCCCAAACCTAAGAATTTATATCTTAAAAAAAAGTCTGAGTTATGGAGGAGCGAAATTGTGAAACAGCCTTTCTGATGAAGCAAGAAACAAAACACTCTCTTGCTTCGTTTAATTCATGTATACGACACCTGGTCAATTAATTAATTAATTAATTAATTAATTAATTACGTTGATTAAAAATATTACACAGTATTAACATCTCATACGATATTAATCATCTGATGTGGCCGTTAGGTCACATCGCTTTCCGTCCAGCAATTAATGTTGCTAGATATTACCATATTAAATTATATTTGCCCGCTGTCGCCGATAGGGATGGAATCGGTAGCTAGTTAAGATGCGCCTGATTAAGCAGGAAACATCACCAAGGATAATAATTCCTAGAATCCTTAGTCAACCAATGGTACCTCCTCCACCCCCATACGAGACAAGTCACCCGTCAAACGGGGAAATTACGTATCCTACCCTGCTAAACGGAGCTATATACCGGAACGGAATGTGGTTGTACCCGAACTCAATGGCAACCATGGAAAAAAAACTCATATGGCTGATCAGCAATCCGCCACGCAACTTCATCCCCAACAGCGCTTGGAAACGAGCAATTTTAAATTCCACCAACATTACAACTTCTGCGAGAAAGCGAAATCAAGCAAACAAAAAACTGCGTGTGAACGACAATAGGGCGGGCGAAACGTCTAGTTGGGTGGGAAAGCACTATGCGAATGAAGCCAGAACCACGTTGTTTTTACTTAACATATTCATATATTGAATAATCTACATATTCAAATGACCCTAGCAAGTGACGTTAGCTAGCGCCTCTTAATTCTCTGTCAACTTCCATTATTGTGCCAATAATAACATTTAACATCTCATACGATATTAATCATCTGATGTGGCCGTTAGGTCACGTCGCTTTCCGTCCAGCAATTAATGTTGCTAGATATTACCATATTAAATTATATTTGCCCGCTGTCGCCGATAGGGATGGAATCGGTAGCTAGTTAAGATGCGCCTGACTAAGCAGGAAACATCACCAAGGATAATAATTCCTAGAATCCTTAGTCAACCAATGGTACCTCCTCCACCCCCATACGAGACAAGTCACCTGTCAAACGGGGAAATTACGTATCCTACCCTGCTAAGCGGAGCTATATACCGGAACCGAATGTGGTTGTACCCGAACTCAATGGCAACCATGGAAAAAAGCCCAAATGGCTGATCAGCAATCCGCCACGCAACTTCATCCCCAACAGCGCTTGGAAACGAGCAATTTTAAATTCCACCAACATTACAACTTCTGCGAGAAAGCTGCGTGTGAACGACAATAGGGCGGGCGAAACGTCTAGTTGGGTGGGAAAGCACTATGTGAATGAAGCCAGAACCATGTTGTTTTTACTTAATATATTCATATATTAAATAATCTACATATTCAAATGACCCTAGCAAGTGACGTTAGCTACCGCCTCTTAATTCTCTGTTAACTTCCATTATTGTGCCAATAATAATATTTAACATCTCATACGATATTAATCATCTGATGTGGCCATTAGGTCACATCGCTTTCCGTCCAGCAATTAATGTTGCTAGATATTACCATACTAGAAAATACATGCATGCAGAAACCCTCGCCTTGCTGACAAAACCATTGTATTTTGCGAACATGAAGTATCCAAAGTTGTTGTCATGGTAACACGATAATTTTTTAAGAATATTCTTACAAATGAAAAATCGCCTAAAAATATCACTTTTAATTACAGAATTATCAATTTCCCAACATATATATGTTAGGTATGTTATTATACGCAATATAAGCTTCAATTTAAGGTAAAATTCAACCACAAAAGCTTCGCAAAACGTTTTAAAATGTTCTTTATCAAACTATTAAAACTGCCTTTAATTATTAAAATGGCTTTATCGATAAACTTTGAGTTTGCAATAAAATGATTTCAAATTCTCGCATGCAAATAACTTTGCTTTCTTTTTTATTTAAAAAATTCAATATAGGCCTGATAAAAAAGGGAATCAATATCATTAATACACTGAAATTATATGCTGTCTTGTTTAGTTGTTTCATATACGCAAAGCCAAAGGGCCAAAGCGGCCGTCGGGTTTTAAAGCAATTATAAAATCAATATTTAGTTTAAAACAAACTTACCTTCGTTGACATCGGCTCCCTTCTTTTAGCCGATTCTTTCGCCCTTTCTTTCTTGAAATTTACAAAATCTTGCAAAAATGCGAGCAAAAATTAAATATATTTGCAAGAAATTGATCAATCATCAAATCAAGAAATGTTTGCTATTTCGCTGTCGTCATACAGTCGACAGTCGTTATAATGCAAACTTTAAATTGGACCCATCAGTGTCCGCTATTCATGACAGTCCGCCATATTTTTGAGATCAGTGAGGATGACCACCCACTCAAGATCGTCGTTCGTTGGTCACGCCCGCGATAATTGATGAACTTTAGACTTCGCTAATGCTTTCGTTTCCCCGGGTGTAAATAGCCGGGGGGGATTAGTACCCTCGCACGGCGCTTCGCGCCATCGGCTCGGGGATTAAATTATATTTGCCCGCTGTCACCGATAGGGATGGAATCGGTAGCTAATTAAGATGCGCCTGACTAAGCAGGAAACATCACCAAGGATACTAATTCCTAGAATCCTTAGTCAACCAATGGTACCTCCTCCAAAATTACCTCCAACCAGTTATAAGGGTTGGAGAAAGGTAACCATTGGTGATACCTTGCCCAATAACAACCTCCAATCCCTTATAAATCCACCATCGCACGAGAAAGAATATCGGGTAAAGTGCGAATATCATGGCGATACGCATCGTTTGCCCAACGTCCAAGAGCGGGAATGAGAGGAACTGGAAGGGTGGCGGCCACGGCCGCCGTTGCGGCATCACTGCAAAAGCTGTAGGAAGAAAAATTGCCGGGAGTACCCCTGCGTGAGAGAAGAATGCACAGATAGCTGTTTACTTGAAGGGCTGAAAACGAACTGCCATCTGCCCACACAAATAGAGGGCCGCGGGGGTCGTGCTGCGTACCGCCAAATATATTGAATCGCTGCAACTGGACTCGTGCGTTGACAGGTTGGGGTCCAAATAAATGAAGCAACCGCGTTCGACAAAGCCAGCATTCCAGATCTGAATAAGCCGGTGAAAACGAGCCTCCAACGGACTTGACAGGTAAGCTCGTGACATTAACCACAACGAGATGTGCAAAAGCGTCGAACGGCAGCGACGTCGTAAACTCACTGGCACGAAGAAATCCGAAATAGGCAATACAGCACGCCGACCAAAAATATTAAATGAGTCATGCGATAAAGTCATGCTTAACGAGTGGAAGATCGCGGGCAGAATTTTCGATGCTCGCGGGAGACGAGGCGAGTTTGCTGCTCCACCACAACGGGGAATACCTTTCATCACCCGCCGACGGCGTTGAGCATTCTGTGTAGGATCAAAGAGCCCCAAATGAAGATGCAGGGACCGAACCACCGCGAGATAAAAACAGACTGTAGCAGGAGATAAAGTGCCTGACCACCATGAAACGAATAATACGAGTTCCGACTGCGACACTTGGAGGGTAGGACCATGAGGGAAGACTGCAGCCAATGTGTGTATAAATTGCCCAAACTGGCGTTGACCTGCAGGATACGTACGGCGGGATTTAGCAGGGAGGCCCTGACCGAGAAAACGGGAAACATCGCGACTCGAATTCGCGAAGAACAGCTCCTGGATGAGTTAAGAAGGGACTAGTGGCGAAAGTGTGTTCGCCGTAGGCAGCAAGCGAGGACATTCCGGAAAATGAAGACAAGGCCTGGAACATGGCGGGCCGACAGCGAGAAGTGCAATGGACCTGCAATTATAGTATGCCAGTGAATCAACATAACAAATCAATACGAAAAAACGACGGAATGCTAATATTGATAAACGACGGAATGCTAATATTGATAAACATGCGAATAACGAATCAATGCGAAAAACGAAGTAAGGCTAATCAGAATAACAGTAACGCGAATCCCGCCGAAAAACGAAGACATACGAATGGCGATGTAATACGAAAAAACAACGGAATACGAATCTCATATCAATGCGAATCACTGGGAAGAAGGAAGACATGCGAATAACGAATCAATGCGAAACCGACGTAGAGAGAATAGAGCATTAATGCGAATCACTGCGAAGACTAACGAAGATATGCGAATACCGATGTAAAAAACGAGGGAATGCGACTCTAAACATTACTGCGAATCACTGGGAAGAACAGGAACCTAACTTTAATGCGAATCAATGCAAAGAACGCGGACAAGCGACTAGCGATTCAATGTAACAAATAGACGTAAGACAAATACAATATTAATTCGAACGACGGCGAAGAACGCAGATATGCGAATAGCTAGCCATTCCAATGCGAAAACCGACCAACGTAGACATACCTATAAGGCGAGTAGGCGACTCACTGCGAATCATTGCGAAGAACGAAGACAACCGAATAACAAATCAATGAATAGTTTAATTAACGCAAGCGAACTATAACTTAACAAAAATCTGGACTGATTTAGCTCTCTCAAACCCGAGAACGGAATTCCTAAAAAAAAAACCAAAACACGAGCAATCCAGACTTTCAAAGAAAATATTAATCTATGATTCTGTTACTAATTGTAATGTATGGGTCACGTCTCCTGTATTCAGCATGCACTCTTGTAAATAGTTTTGCTTTGTCTCTACGTATTTTCTTGTACGCCCGTGGTATATAAATTGCCGACGCCCCTCATGAAAACCAATGCGTGTTGCTGAGGTTAGCGTCTTGACATAAATGTTTACGATACAACACGCCGAGACGCCGACGTAATGCGAATAACATTAATGCACGAATAATATAACATTAATGCGAATCACTGCAAAAAACGAAGACACATGCATGCGAATAACGAACTATCACTGCGAAACCGACGTAATAGGAATATAACATGAAGGCGAACACTCGAAGAAAGAGGACAGGCGAAAAAACCCCAAAACGAATCACGGCAAAGAACGAAGACATGCGACTGACTAGCTATAGTGATTCATTTATATTATACACAGGGGAGTCAGTGGACAAGTTTATAAATGATCTAGGTTAGATTTATCGGGATTTATACAAGGTTCTTAAGTATTTAATGCGCCAAAATATTTGAGAAATTAGTCTGTAGACAACTAAATACCTTCCTGGATAACAACAACATAATTGTAAAAAATCAATCAGGTTTCCGTCGCAATCACTCAACCGAAACCTCGTTACTACAATCTACTGAAATGTGGTTGAAATCAATGGACCAGGGTCAAATAAATGGGGTTATTTTCTTAGACCTGAAAAAAGCATTTGATACGATTGATCACCAGATTCTATTGTCAAAACTACAAGCTTATGGGATACGCGACCACACGCTCAAATGGTTCCAATCGTATTTAGATAAAAGAAAGCAAATTTGCATGCTAAATAACTGTAAATCTGATATTGAAACAATTCGTTGTGGAGTACCTCAGGGTTCAAATCTTGGACCTCTATTATTTCTCATTTACATAAACGACCTCCCAAACTGCCTAGAAACAACACACAATAATTTATTTGCTGATGACACAATTTTATCATGTCAAGGGCATTTATCCATAGATATTGAATACAAACTTAACAAAGACCTAGTAAATGCTCAAAAATGGTTATCAGCGAATAAACTAACATTAAACAACGAAAAAACCAAATATATGATTATTGGATCTCGGCAACGATTGAAAAACTTAGATCACGTGCCAAAAATCAGTATAAACGGACATCAAATTGAACGAGTTTATAAAAAGGAAGCTTTGGGTATAGTTATAGACGATAGACTTAGCTGGAATAGGCAAAATGAAGAACAATGCAACAAGATATCAAAACATATTAATCTTTTAAGAAAAGCCAAAGATTTTGTTGGCCTAGATACGCTCAAAATTATGTATAACGCATTAGTCGCGCCTCATTTTAACTACTGTTCAACTGTTTGGCAAAATAACAACCAAACACACTTAGACAAATTATATACGCTTCAGAAACGAGCAGCAAGAATAATAACAAATTCGGACTATACTATAAGATCTTCGGACATTTTTCAAAAACTTAGCTGGAAACCTCTTGACTTAGTTTTGAAAAAGCGAGATCTCCTTATGACATTTAAAGCGATTAATGGCATGCTTCCAGAATATGTAACACAACTATTTCACACTTGCGAAAACAATGGTTACGTACTGCGCAGTAGTAATTTAAAGCTGTCTCAACCTAAACCAAAAACGAATTTCTTGAAAAATAGCTTTTCGTACAGAGGAGCAGCGTATTGGAACAACATCCCAGTAAACTTGTTCAAAACCCTAAGAGAGTCAACAAGTTTAAAATCTGTCCATCATCTATTAAATAATTACATCTTGTAAATAAGTAAATAAGTAAATAAGTATATTTTGTAAATAAGTATAATTTAGTTTATTAGTTCCTTCTTTTATAATGCATTTATTTTCCGCACGGCCCTTTGAAAATCACCTATGTGAAAGGTTACCGTGTTTAAAGATCAATAATAATAATAATAATAATAATAATAATAATAATAATAATAATAATAATAATAATAAAAGAACGAAGATACAAGCGAATAACGAATTGCGCAACCGACGTAATGCGAATATAATATGAATGCGAATCAATGCGAATAACGAATGCGAATAACGAATCAATGCGAATAACGACGGAATGCGAATAACGAATCAAATACGACTAACTAATCAAATACGAATAATGAATGCGCATGCGAATAACAAATCAATGCGAATAGCGAATGCGAATCACGAATCAAAACGACGAGATGCGAAGAATGCATGCGAATAACGACTCAAACGACTGAATGCGAATAATGAATGGGAATAACGAATCAATGCGAAAACAAATGCGAATAACGGCGAATCAAACGACGGAATGCGAATAACGACTCAATACGAAACCGACGTAATGCGAATATAACATTAGACGCGAATAACTGCGAAGACGAAGACATACGAATAACGAACTGATTACTGCGAAACCGACGTAATGGGAACATAACATGAAGGCGAACGCTCGAAGAAAGCCAGGCGAACCCCCCCCCCCCAAAAAAAAAAACGAATCACGGCAAAGAACGAAGACATGCGACTAGCTATAGTGATTCCTTTATATTAGACACAGGGGAGTCAGTAGACAAGTTTATAAAGGAACGAGGTTAGATTTATCGGGATTTATACAAGGTTCGTAAGTATTTAATGCGACTCACTGCGAAGAACGACGACACAAGCGAATAACGAATTGCGCAACCGACGTAATGCGAATATAATATGAATGCGAATCAATGCGAATAACGAATTAGAATAACGAATCAATGCGAATAACGACGGAATGCGAATAACGAATCAAATACGACTAACGAATCAAATACGAATAGCGAATGCAAATAACAAATCAATGCGAATAGCGAATGCGACTCACGAATCAAAATGACGGGATGCGAAGAATGCATGCGAATAACGACTCAAACGACGGAATGCGAATAACGAATGCGAATAACGAATGGGAATAACGAATCAATGCGAATAACAGCGAATCAAATGATGGACTGCGAATAACGAATCAATACGAAACCGACGTAATGCGAATATAACATTAGACGCGAATAACTGCGAAGACGAAGACATGCGAATAACGAAGCAATGCGACACCGACGTAATTAATGCGAATATAACATTAATCGAATCATTGCGAAGAACAAAAGGATATGCGAATCACGAATCAATGTGAAACTGCACGTACTGGGAATATAACAGTAATGCGAATCATTGTGAAAAAACGAGAACATGCGAAGTATGTATGGATGTACCAAATCTAAGTACATCCTTTCGATTGAATAGTGAATACTAGATAATACCTATGATCTTAGAAAAAGAGAAACCGATTTGTCTCTTCTTAAACCGAATACCGATTTTGGTAAAAGACTTCAAATATAACGGAGCGGTAGTATGGAATAATTTACCGTATGAGGTAAAAGTAGCGGAATCTTTTTGTTCTTTTAATTTAAAAAGAACTATTTATCAGGCAAATACTGAAAATTGGCTCGTCCTGTTGCCTATATAGTAAATAGTAATTCTTCTTTCTTTGTTTTTGTATGTTGTATAATCTAGTAATGTTTATCTGTGCAGGATGTCCTTCTAAAATCACGCCCCTCGTGGAAATCAGCTCTGAGTTGTTGAGGCCAGCGTGCATAAATAACTTGTATGTGTATGTGTATGTGTATGTGTATGTGTATGTGTATGTGTATGTGTATGTATTAAGTATGTATGGATGTATAACATGGGGGAATGCGAATCACTGCGAAGAACGACAACATGCGAAGAGCGATATTGATTCAAGGCGAACACCGACGGAATGCGAATATAACATCAATGCGAATCACTGTGAAGAACGAAGCCATCTGATTGTCTCAGCAATTGTAATGAAAAAAAATGTTTGATTGTTCAATGGCGTGGGTAAACACTTCGTCTGCTCATAATGAAGAAACGACAATTTTTCCGTGCAAGATAATAACAAATATTGGAAAATTCGACCATATTTCGGCAAGGCTACGGGAACTCAACTTGAAGCGCTCGGAACAGCACACCCAGGGCAGGCATAAAACGTACTTATAACACATAACAAAGCAGCGGTCAACGCGACAGCCCGGGACGAGCTATAGGCTGGCTTGAGCGAGTTATTCACGTAACGTTCTGAAATTCATCAACGAGATACACGCGTGCCTGCCAGCACAGCAAAACTCAATGCAAAGACCACTGTATAAAACTTCTGGTCAAAAGTCTTTCCATTATGGAGGAGTTACACTCTGGAACGATCTGGACATCAAGTACAAAAAGTGAAAATTGTACGAAACTTTTAAAAACGACCTGCATGACGCGAAGCATGCTAGAACAATATAGAGCTAAGACTAAGTATAGAGAATTGTCAGGTTAATGTTTGATACAAAGTCAGAGGTCTTATTCTGTTTACCTTATTTTTTAGAACTTGTAAATAGTACAACATCTTAGTCATTGTAATCAGTGTTGAAAATAGTGCAATAGCAACTCAATTCAAAGTAAAGCAAATAACATTAATGCGGTAATGGCGAAGAACAAAAACATGCGAATATAGCGAGCCAATTTTTGAATTTCAGAAAATCTAACTTTCTTTTTTGGATAGTAGAAGAATTTTTAGCTTAATAAACAAAAGCAATTGTTGAACAATACGAACTTAATCTAAACATTTGCATGTACACATAAATGCAATTCCGCCTAGCCTATGCTGCAATGTTGGTATGATTAAAACATCTACTTATCTTATATCTATCTGTAAATGCGAATCCCGGCGAAGAACGAACACATGCAAATAGCGAATCATTGCGAACACAAACGGACTGTGAATATAGCAAACCTTAATGTGAATCGATCACTGGGACGAACGAAGATATGCACATAGCGAATAAAAATACGGCGAATTGACATATGCCGACGGATGGCCACATTTGATGGCCACCATGCTGAGCTGATGAAGCCGGTAAACGTAGAGTAAATGGACTCGTAGGTGGTGCCATAACATTTTGAGGAAAGGAAGGGTCACTCGAAGCTGACGAGGAAGACACCACGGCCAAATAGTGCGAATGGCAGGCAACACTAGCGAACGTGATGCAGCCGACAAGAACCCCGACTGCCGAGGAAATAACAGCTGGATTAGACACTGTTGACTTGCTGATTGAACCACAGGAATGCTCGTGGATGTAGTGAGTAGCTAGGTAACTTGTTCGGGCATTTCCTTTTGAAATTTTCAAAGAATTACACTGAAACTAACTTCGGGAAAAAAACACTATGCGAATGAAGCCAGAACCACGTTGTTTTTACTTAATATATTCATATATTGAATAATCTACATATTCAAATGACCCTAGCAAGTGACGTTAGCTAGCGCCTCTTAATTCTCTGTTAACTTACATTATTGTGCCAATAATAACATTTAAAGTGTGAAACACTGTATATTGATACATAATCTTTCAGAATTAAGGTACTGTTCACATATATGTAATATAATTATCTGTAGTATCCAACTGCATGATAATTAAGTTCAAACATCCCAGACCAACAAAACATTTATTGTAAGGGACGAAGTTGTTAATAAGGCCTGCCTGGATGTTTGAAATTAAACTCTCAAAAACGTTAATTGATATTTGTGAGCAATTATAAAATAACCGATGTTCGCGTAAAGTACTGTGTGGTCGATTTTCCATTTATGTCGAACTGAACATGTTCAATGAAGAATAAATAAGTACATTAATATACAGAGTATTTAGCTCGATATTCTCTCTAATAAAATTATCCTATATTTTGGGTATTTACAGGAGCGTATTTATTTGCAATCGATTGTTTCCCTGGTGAAATACGATCAATGTTTACATAAATTGTGTACTGTGCTCTTGCTCTGGCTGGGTGAAAGCTTTGTATTTTGTTCTAAAATATCTTTTAAAACTTTAGCATGTTACAACAGGTAAGGCATACAAGTAAGGTCCAATATATTTCTAAAGTTTGTACCTTCATACGCGCAGACAAATTTAAATTAACAGAATTTATCTGACAAACACCTAGTCTTGGATGTCTTTATATGAGGAGTCAAAGTTACAGCTGAGTCAATTTTGAAGCATTTTCGCTTAAACTTCTTCGCTTCATATTTTCTTTCTTATATCAAAAGAATCATTATACATACAGTTTTAAATAGCAAGTTTATTTACTCTCTATTGCCTT